AGTCGAATCAGAATTGTTCAGCGTCGTGAGAGGAATCCACTGTGAATTTTTCCTTTAAAAAAATATTAAAACAGTCTCTGACTTCCATTCTTCATTATAATTATTTCATAAAGTCATTAGTATCAGTTTTCTCGTGTAATTACCTTATGTTCAGATCAAGAGTTCTGAAGAGTTTTGAATTAAAGCTACTTTTATTTCCAACCAATTCTATAATGTATACGAGAAATAATAATTTGTTTCTAGTTTTTGTAAAATATTCTTTTTTAAATATCCTATAAATCAATGAATATCCTAAAAACATCCAAAATTTTCAATTAAATATTTAAGAAATATCCCAAATCAATAAGATTCTAAAATTCTGTCCTTTATTTTCTCTTATTCACTGATATGATTGACCTTTCTCTAGAAAATATTTCAGGTAAAAGACTTACAATTACCCATCAACCATATGTAATAATAAGTATTCGATATATTCATTAGCTTAAATTTCCACTTAACAGGTCGAGTGAATAAAAGTCTCAAAAATGTTCATAAAGAAGAGTTTTTTTTGGCGAGTCCGAATCATTGGATTCTGGTAGATAAATATTCTCTGTTTTCAGGCAAATTCTTCATGAATATTTTTTCAGTTATTTTTTTTCGAAAATATCGGTTTTTCCTCAATATTAAACTGATAGTTTATTGGACTATCCACATTTCTTTTTTAGTTTTCTATCCTTGGAATGAATATTTCTCCGCCTTAAAAAAAGTTTAAAAATTAACAGAGATCCAAAACTCATTCGATAGTCTTTGCAATAACTTCATCATCAGGAATTCTGCTTCCATTTATAGCTTTCCCATTTTATTGCATAACTACAGCATTTTAAATTTTTTTAACTACAGCAATTTTAAATTTTATAAACTACATTTTTTAAAAATTATCTTGTTTTCACTAAATCGCTCAATATAGTATGGCAGCATGACAATTATGTTATCTAACCTCATCTTATTTTATAAGGTTGGAAATGCCCAAGTGATTAAGCTCATTAAATTATCTTGTTGAGAGCTAAAGGTTCAGATCTTGTTCCAGGCATAAATCTGTCATTCGAAAAATCCGGCAAACCTGTGCTTCTACCAGCAGATGACTTCCTAACAAAAACTTTTAAGCTAGCCTAACCAGAAATGGTGAAAGGTAAGGTAACCGGCTATTTTCAATAACCAAATTTTGCGAGACAAAAAATATTGAAAATTCATAATTCGCCTGTCATTCGTTTATAAGTTTGACTAATATCTTTAACTATTTTAAATGCTCTTAATTCGCACTCTCTAAACCGAATTATTGCAATAAATGCAAAAATAAAAGGAAAAAATAAATCAGTAAAGTTTTTTTCATATTTACAATATTTTTAAGCCAAAATTTCTTCTTTAAAGGTGAAATTTTTTCGATTTAAAGAAAACTCAATGATAAATATATGAAATTCTCGAATTTTGTTAAATTTGTCACCAAAAAAAATTAAAAAATAACTGCAGCCTTTAAATATCTTTCATGATGGCAAGCATCGATTACTATATTTTAATTTTATTTAGTGTTTTGAGGCATTCTTTAAAATAATATGATTCTCTTCATGTTTTGCTTATAAGGTTGTTATTGGATACATCATCCAAGCGTTCAAACGTTGTTTTACATCCAAACGTTCTTCAATTTGCAACAGCGTCAATAGGCGTAAAAAAACTAGGTGAAGTAAACTCTTAATTGGATTTCATGATTTTAATTTGCTATGCTCAAATTGCTTTCGCCTTGGTTTCCCCCCACTCCCCTTTTTTTTCATATTCGGTATTAAATTATTTCCAAAATATGGCAAGGAAAATGCCTTTAGAATTATTTCCCAGTTGCACAACAAGCAAAATGCCTTATAAATTTTTTCTCATCGGAATAGTAAGTAAATTGCTTTTGAAATAACCTGGATGACCAAATTATTTGATCAAAATTCGCTGTGAATTTTGTAAATTTATTTTGTTGAGGTTAGTCGCAAGGACTAATATATTTAGAATTTGTATTGAATATTTTGTAAAATAATTTCCATTTTAAGGGACTGACTTTTTTTCTTTTTAAATCATTTGGAAAAGCTGATTGATTGCAGCGCTTTTTTCCGGATTCTTTGTCGGTATTGAAAAATGATAGAAGGATTTAGTGGGAAAATCGATTTATTAGATATTTTTCATTTTAATCATGTGTGAAACTTTGCTTAATAATTTGCTTAAAGGGCAAATAATGTCTCAACTTATCAATATCAAATTCATAATTTTCTCACTGAAATAGACTAGTACAATTAAAATGAGGTAACGGTATGAAATTTGAATGAGAAGTAAATGAAATTCGAAGACTGACCTGATTTTTTTGTTATAAACAAACTGATATTGGAAGGTCTCAAGTAACGTTTCAATCGCTCGCACAAAAAAATTGACTTTCATACAAATTTTTCCGTTTTTTTTGACGTTCATTGGCTTGCTGTTCATTGATCAATAAGGGCTGTCTTCTAAATGTTGCTCACCTATGTAATATATTTATACCAAATGGGTTTTCTAACGATTCAGACTCTATCCGGTTCGGTGGTGCAAGCCAAATGAAAAATGGTGCCTACTTTTAAAAGAAAAAAATCCAAAATAAATTTTTCTAGATTTTGGTGTTTCTTTAAAATCAAAATTTCAAAATCATTGAAAATCTTTATGCTTAATCCTTCTTTATCCTTCTTTTCTCGATTTCTTTTTAATCACTTTCAATGGTCATTTATCCAAGCAAGAATTTCTTCCAAATTATTTTTCGTATGTCAGCTGTTCATTCACAATAATGAAACAATGAATAAAGCAGCAAGTTAGTTGGCTAATTAGTAAAATGCTTTCCAGTGCATCATCATTTTGTTCGTTTCTTCAAAATTTTTGGCCAAATCATCCGTCGATATCTTTGATATAATCTCGCTTCCTTGGTAAATATTTATCGATAACTTTTAAGGCATTTTTTAAATCACGGTTGTGCTTGTTGTAAAAAAATAAGTTATGAAAAATTTATATAATGGAATGCATTTTACTAATTTAAAAGCCAATTATTGCTTTTTTTTTTACAATTTTTTACAATTTATCAACTTTTTTAACTAAAAGGGGAACTTTGTTTTTTTTCAACTTTTTATCAATAAAAATTTTATAAGTAAAGAATTCGCATTTACCATTTCTGATAATACTTATTCCATTGGCTGACTATTACTAAGATGAAGTTGAATTAGAGAAGTGCGAATAGAGAAACACACAGCATCATTCGGATTCTTCAATGACAAGTTTGCTCTCATGGAGAGTAGCGTTCAACTCATGCCATAGTTGCTAGATAATAATGATATAAAAATAAGAATCAGTCGATTACTCTAACTCTTATTGATCTGTACATTAAAATTATAAATCTTCCTTTTACATTCTGCATTCTTTCTTTTGAAACATTCAGCAATAATACTCTATAACGTATGAGACTGCTGGAATTTATCGTTGAATATCACTCGACAATTATAACACTATCTTACTTTACTTTTTTGCTTTTTTATAATTTTAAAGCCACTGGTGCAAGCAGCAATCTTCCTCGAAAATCTTGGTGAAGAAATCACCTTATTCGAATTACTGTAGTTATTAAAATTTTATTTTAGAGCAGGTCCATTTGTGAAAAGCGATCTTTCACATCAATGTGTTATTGCAGTTTTTTCTTATCAGTCCTTAATGTATTTATCATACACGTATAAATTTAATAACATTCAATGGTGTTGATTTTACGACTAAGAAAAAATAATTTTACTTATTCTATATACAATAAATAAGTGTTTAAAGTTTTATAGCACTTTTATTACTTTGCTGATAAAATCTTTGCGATAAATATTTAAACAGATCTAATAGAGCGTATAAGGAAAAAAACGTGTTATTTTGAAATCAGCCGATAATCAGCATTCCTCATTTCAATTTGTGGATTTATTAGTTTTTTACTTAATAGAAATTCCCAGAATTTATATGAAAAGTTTTTTAGATTTTTAGGTTAATAAATCTTTCGTTTGGCAAAATTTTCAATGAGGCAAGGCATTAGGCATTAGCTTTATGATCAGAGATTGCCTAATAATATATTATGTATATTGTGTAAAAATATATTATACAACTTTTTGCGAATTGTTTTCACAGAAATTCTTTTATTTATGAGGAATAAGAAATTGATTTCTGGGTGAATTATTTGGTTTTTTTTCATATTTGGTGCAAAATTTAAGTAATTTGTTGAAGCTTGTTTTATGGTACGTATTGTGACTATTCATGTGGTACGTATTGATTTTTTTTAAAGAGCTTTCACTATTACTAGTTAAACTCGCTCCGCTGGCTTGTCGCATTGGAAAAATGTGCCAGAGAGTCACTTGGCGATAGAAATACAGGAGTCGCCAGAATCATCCGGATTTTTGGACAGGTTTACTCCTGCACGTGTTGATTGCAATGGTACAAATCAATTTTAATCGTATTAAAAAAAAATTCTGTTTTACCTGTGATGGTTGACAGGATAGACGAGTGGATAATGGCTTCGATTATTTCACTGATAATGGGGCTCCTCCACCAAACGAACAAATTTTTCATTAAAAAACTTGGCTAGTGCTGGGGTGGTAGGACTTCGGCCCTTCTATCATCAGTCAATTCTACCGTAAAAATTTCTATCAGTCAACGCAGCCTAACCAGAAATAATGAATGCCACTTACTTACCCTATCTAATCATAATAGCTAAATGCAGTAATGGTAGCGCTGAACTAAACGCAGTAATGCTCGAGCTGATTCTTTTATATAACCTTTAACATATTTTTGAAAGAATTTCTTCGGATTTGTGAATTTTACTTTTATTTGAGCGATTCGAGAAATTATTGAAATAAAATTAAATTAAGAGATATTTTTATTGCAGGGCCTTAACAAATAACATGAATCGAAGAGAATGCGCTAAAACTTAATCCAAATATAATTCAGTTATGCTCCAGCAACCTGTTGTTCGAGAACTTCGCTCGTTTCAATCTTTGTCTCGATTTTCTGGACCTCGTGCATTGGTTAATCGACGGCAGTCTAGTATCAATGCACGCCGATATTCGCATTCAAGGCAACGAGCAGCCGATTTTTCCATTGATGAACAGGTATTTGTTAATCTATTCCAATTTCTTTATTATTCATTTTATATTTTATCATATCGTATCTTCCTCATTTTACCTTTGTTATCTGTTGAATCTTGGTCTATGCTTGGTCTATGTTTCGAACACTATAATGGATTTATAAGAAATTTGTTAAAAAATTGGTAAAAAATTCAATTAATATTAATAAATTTCATGCATTTAATTGCTTTTAATTTTATAATTTTTAACAGAATTTTGCATTAAAGTAACTCTTAATTGCCCTCAAAATATGTCTTTGGCATTGGAAGGGCCTTGCATTATTTGTGCTAATTAAATTTATATTTACAGCTACATTTACTTCCATGAATTTATATTTGGATTTTGGAATATGGATTTTTTGAAATTCAAATATTCGAATTGTATTAAAAAATTATTTCAAATATCGAAAAAAATTTAGAGATGCATTCCATAATTAATGCTTAATCCCACTTTTTATAAGATAATTTTTATTCATTTCCCCTTAAGTCAAACTTGTATAATTTACTTCTTTAATTTGGCTGCCGATATATAATATACTGTACTAGTATATTATTTAATAGTATAATACTAAATATACTATTTAATTGAAATATATAAAATATTAATAAATTCTTTTTATATATAAAATATAACTTTTTAAGGCGATTTTCAAATTTATTTAAGGACAGTTTTAATCTCATTGTAGTAGTGCGGAGTGAATGATGATTGAATGATGACTAAGAATGTCGTGTTAAGAAGGAAGTTCGTATACTCTCGGCTTAGTAAATCTTAGATATTGCTATTTGTTTTATCATAATTTTACTAAAAGGCCAGGAGTTACTGGCGACTCACCTGTAATCGCTCATTTTATATTATGACTGCAAAATACCATTATTGAATAATTTGCAACCTTGTAATTTGTTGCATATTTTCCTTTTTTCTCAAATTAGTTCTTAATCTTTATTTTGAATAACATGTTTGATCAGTTACAGTGACAACTATTGAACAGGGACTTTTTTTAATCACATAGCTTATGATAGCTTTCGCGTAAGCTTACTCACTGTTAAGTTCAAATATAAAATTAGTTTCAAGTTGCGGAAAGTAAATTTCTGAATACAAATAAATTACTTGCTCTGTTCATCCATCTTGGTTGGAGTTCATTTCTTTCAGGTTATATTTATTTATACTAAATATATTTTATTCTTATTCTTCTATTACTCTATCTATTACTAGCCAAATGTTTTAACTAAGAATTCCTTTATAAAAACTTTTATGAACTCAAATTTCTGCATATTTTTTTGGATATAAACACATTTCTTTCCAAGCTGTGGCAAATTTCAATAAGCTTAAGCGTTACAACCTAAGGGTGGATTTTGTGGAACATCATGGAACCACTCTAGTCTTTATAAATCTTCTCATTAAAAGCGAGATCTGGCTGGAGCTGGCGATCTTTCTGTTCAGTAGTAACTCTCTGATCTTAGTGGTGATGGCTTAAAAAAAAAAAGATTTAAGCCAGTAAATTGCCATCATTTTTATAATTTGTATTCGAAGTTCGACAATTATTCCATTTCATGTTCCATGTTTCACTTGCAAGGCTAATTGTGTTTGCTGGATTACGCAAATATTTATAAATATATATTTGATAGGATTATTTTTCGTGGCAATTGCTTTTAAATAATTCAAAATATTCCACAAATTAAAAAAATGTTTCCCGCAAAATTTACATGAATTTACTTATCTTAACCATGGCTGATTTTAAAAAAATCTTTAAAGGAACGGGTTAGTTAGTTAATCTCAAAGTCCAACACTGCGAAATTCTGCGCTAACTTTATTACCTGCAAATTCTGTTTAATATAAAAACCAAGCAATATCCTCGAAATTCCTAAAATCCTCGAAAAAAAAGGGTCAATAAGAAATTGCAAATAAATGAAAGCCGAAAGAAGCGATAAGCTTCCATATTTATCAAAAGAAAATCGATGATAAGTCAATTTAAGAAAAATGAATTTGTGAACAAACAGGAAATATAATGAGAAAAAATGGCATTTTGAATTACTAAGAGCGCTTAGAGGAAATTAAGGGAAGCGAATGGTGTAAAAAAAAAAAAATTTCTTATGATTTTATCCAGTTGTAATATTTTTTAAATTTATTTTGCAGACATTTTGAGTTAAAAAAGGCATATTATAGGAAGACACTTTTTAATGATAATTTATATTACATGCAAGCAAGTCGAGATCGCTTCTAATATCACTGCACGGCCCATAACAAATTATGAGCAAGATTTCATTAAAAAATTTTAGGCCTTGGGCAGCATCTATTCTTGGCTCCTTTGCGAAACTGTCTCATTCTAATAGGTAATAACAGATGGGTCTAATAAGAATTGTTAAGTGCTAATCATTTGCTCATAACATAGTATTTCCAGGTTATTTCGTTGGCTGGCACTAGTATAGCTGCTGATTCTAACGAGCCAGTGCAAAAACGGTTAAAAGCGGTATCGGAATCGATCGATAAAGAACCCCTACAGCCATGGGTAGATAATGTTTCAGTAAGCGATCAACGGCGGCATGCACAAGTGGAATGGAGTGAAGAAGCTGATTTTATTGATGAAGAATGTGAACTACCCTATCCTGGGTATCGCTCATCGATTTAAAAAAAAAAAAAAAATGTTCTTTCCATAGGAATTCAATAAATTTCAAAAATCCCATTAAAAAAAGAGTTGGTTTCAGGTTGTTATAATAATGTTTCATAATAATATATTTATTATATTAATACATTTTCAAAAAAAATTGTATTTTCACCTCTTATCACGGAAAATATCGAGCATATTGACTCGATTCTCTAATAGAAACCAACAAAATTGTCATTAAAAGATCCAAGTAATGCTGGTGACTACCTATAGTGCCTTTCCTCGCCAAATGGCTTCCTTGCGAAAATTTCTGACAGCCGTATTAACAGCCAGTGAAGCTAGCCTGACCAAAAATGCGATAAGCGTTAACCACTTACATTTTTTTATGTCTCGAATATCAGTTATTTTTTATCATTTTCTTATTTATAATAAATGATTCATTGTATTTAATAATTTCCCCTTGTATTGATGGTTTTCTGTTTGATAGAGTGGTTACAAATTCCATGAAAAGGCTATGAATAAGGCTAATTAAGCATTTATAAAGATAGCCATCTTATGAAAAAACGTTTCAGTTTCGTGGAACCAGCTTTGCATTGCTTATATCAAGCAAACCCTCCTCGAAGCTGGGCATTACAAATGGTAATGAATCCATGGTTCGATCGTATCACTATGTTTGTTATTTTAATTAACTGTGTAACTCTTGGTATGTACCGGCCATGTGAAGATGGACCTGACTGTACAACATATCGATGCTATATATTATCAATAATTGATCACTCCATATTTGTCTATTTTAGTTTAGAAATGGTAATTTTCTAAATTTACTAGCTGTTATTAACAGCATATTCTTCGCATTCTAATCTAAATTTATCCAAATTAAATTAGTCTTTGATTAAAAGTATAATTATATACTTGTATATAATGATTTTTATATAAGATATGATATGAAGATATGGGATGGTATGATATGGTAAGATAAAACAATAAATAGAGCGGAATAAAATTTTTATATGAATTTCTATTCTTTTTCTATTTTTATTTCTATTTTTTTCTATTTCTATTTCTATTTTTATATTTTTAACTGATTTCTATTTTTTATATTTTTTGTCTATTTTTTCATCATCAATTCAATTTTTAACTGATTTTCCTTCATATTTCATTAAATTCCGCAGATTTTTCATAATTATATATTTAGATTGTAAAAATAATTGCGCTCGGATTCTGTGGCCAGGCAGCCTATTTGTCAGATACATGGAATCGTCTCGATTTTTTTATTGTTTGTGCAGGGTAACTTTTCTTTCACTTCCTAAATTTTGAGATTAAGCAAAGTTATTTGGCGGGCTTCAATTAAAAAACTGTCTTTTCTTTTATCCTGTTTGCTAAAAAAATTTTTTGATATTATATCATCGGAAGCGCAAATATTTTCTTTAAAATAAACTTCAACCTCTCAGCAAATTGGCTGGTACTAACGATATACCTATACTTCTATTACTATTCTGTTCCCCTGACAAAATCTATTTGGCTTGACAGCAAGCTTAACCAGAAATTATGGGCGTTTTTATTCCATTCTTTATTCCATTCAATATCCATTCTTCTTATATGAAACCTTATCATTGTTCTTTTCGATTATTAAATTTCATTCACTAACTTTTGAATTGACTATTCACTTCATTGATTTAAATCGGAAAGCAATAAAATTTTTAATATTTCGTTAATTTTAAAATCTTATTTATATTTTGCTACAAAATAAATTATTCGCATCCACCATTTCTCACCATTTAGACTCGTTCTTCTAGCTGATTGGCTATTAAATGAGAAATTTTTGCCAAAGCTCCACTTGAGAATAAAAATATAATTTATATTAATAATAATCATATTATAATTTACTTTAATATTTAGTGGCTATAAATATAAAAATATTCGTGGGTCCTCAGCATCAATCTGTTAGAGGCGGATTTCGAATTTTGATCATAATTGGGGTGGTAATCTGAATAACAGCCATTTAGCACTTTTGCTGCAAGCTCGTAGCTTCAAAACATTGATCTCGCAAAAAACGAATAATATTGGTTAAAAATTTTTAATTAAATTGGTTAAATTTTATTATTTTAGATTATTATTGGATCTTTATTTAAATTAAATTATCTCCTAATTGCATCGAGAAAAATTGAATGAAAAGTTATCAACAGAAATGAATATAATATGATTGATCATGGTGGAATTCAATAATAATAAAATAATATGTTTATATCTAATTAACTTATAATTTGCTTTAATATTTAATACAAATATTTTTTAAAAAAATTTACAGGCAAATGCTATTGGATTAAACATCAATGCAAAAAACCAGTAAAACTTAAATTAACAAGTTTTTTTGCAGATGTGCTGAATATTTACTTCAGGAATACTTAGGTAATATTAATCTTACTGCTATTCGTACGATTCGAGTTCTTCGACCACTACGAGCAGTCAACAGGATACCATCGATGCGTATTTTAGGTTTGTTTCATCATTAATTGAATAGTGTGGTCAGTAATCGTACTACCTGTTCGATAAAAATTAGGACGAATTTTTATTTAAAGAATATAGAAAAATAATAGATTCCACCAAATTGAAGCGAGAATCGCTAATTATTATGAATTATGAACAAAAGTTTTTTTTTTTTTTTTTAACCAGTTGAACTTTGTTTTTAATGTTCTTTCATTTGAACCATAAAAAGTGTATTTTTTTTTAGTAAATTTATTGCTTGATACATTGCCCATGTTGGGAAATGTGTTGTTTTTATGCTTTTTCGTCTTCTTCGTATTTGGTATAATTGGTGTACAGTTATGGGCGGGTTTGTTAAGGTAATCCATTATTTCTGCAATCTTAAAATATTCACGTTCGCATTTCACAGCGAAAGTTGAAGGACTGTTTTCTGCGCTGAAGCAAAAAGCAAAAGCTTTAATGAATTTGGTTTAATAGAAAACAATTAAAGCGATGGAAAGTTAATTTCTTTGAGCTAAAATTAAACTTGTTTTTTTTTAAGCTTGGAATATTTTCATATTTCATATTCTCTTATTCAACTTTGAGGACATGGAAAGTGAGATTCTAAGATGTTTATTGACTGCTTTCAAAATTTTGTAATGAAAATTGCGTTATACGCTTCTGTTGACGATTTAATAAATTTCAAATAAATTTCAGGAATCGTTGCGTAATAAATTTGCCTAAAGTTGATATACCAGTTCTAATAAATAATTTTTCTCTTACGAGGTGAATTTTTAAAATTCCCGTATTTTTTTGAAGTATTGCTTATATCTTCTTCTAACAGCTCTTACTATTACTGGTTAGGCTGGTTCCGCTACCTGCAAGGGTAAGGGTATTCTCCAAGCTGTTCGGTCCAATACCATCGCTAATAGTAATAGAAGCCATCCTTTTTCTATCATCTAAATCCATATAGCGCTAGTCCTACTATACGTTCAAAATCTTTCCTAACTGTCCGTGTATTGATTGGTTTTCCACGCTTTTATATATATAAATATATATCACAAGGTTTAGTAACTAACAAAATATGTTTCAACTCCTGTGGAAGGCGACGAAGAATGCGCTCTAACCTGCAAAGAGGACGCTTTGATGATACTGTTAATACTAATGGTTATTTGAGCGAAGGTGGATGAGATTATGTGAGATTTTATCCGCTCGACGGATGTAAAATGTATCTTAGGCATGAGTGGTCAAAAGTTGATAGCTTCTTAATATCTTCCACTCTCATTGGCCATGTTTCGCAGCCATATAGCAAGATCGAGCGAACTACAGCTATATGGACGCGGATTTCCGTCTTTATGATGACGTCGTGACGGTTGCATAAAGGTTTCATCAACCAGAAAAACATAATTTTAGCTGCCATAATCCAGGTTACGATTTCATCCTTTGCCTGGCCATTTGGGATTAGAATGGATCCAAAGTATTTAAAGTCCGGCATTTCCTCAACCGGCAGTGAATTTATAAAAATAGGTATTTTATCAGCATCTTGTATATAATACGAAAATACTTTTGTTTTATTTACTTTGATTTTGAGTCCAATTCTCGCTGCAGTTGTTCACACACTGTTTAATAGTATTTGCATTTCATTATGACTGTCAACAAAAAGGACTACATCATCAGCGCATTCGAAATCTGTGGTGCCATGTTCTAGATTGATTTGCATATCTCTTCAGTGCTGACAACCAATATCCATTATCCAGTCTATCGCTTAGTTGAATATTATAGAGGAAAGGGCGCAGCCTTTCGGACACCAGTTCTTGTCTCGAAAGGCTAATCAGTTTCCCATATACAAGATTTTTGCTAAGGTATGCTGATAAAATGCCTTTATGAGCTGAATGATCTTTTCTGGGACATTCCACCATTTTCCAGAGAGCTGCTCTATCAATCGAATCGAAGACACCTGCAAAATCGATAAAGCAAGTGACGGTTTGTTGCTGGTGCTTGTCTCAGCATCCTTCTTAGTGTAAATATCTGGTCAGCACAATCGCATCCCTGTCTGAATCCAGCTTGATTAGGATGTATTCTGTATTGTGTTGCCATGAGTTTATTTCGCAGGAAGGGAAGCGAAAATTTTCTTCGGAGATGTCCATGAGGCTGATTCCTCGGTAATTGTCGCAGTACGTCCTATCACCTTAGGAATTGGAAGCAAAATTGCTTTGCTTCAGTCTTCTGATATTTCCTTTTGTTTTGTATTATATCCATAACAAATTAAAAAAAAGAATTTTAAAGAAAATTTTAAAAAAATCAAAGGAAGGTAATAAATTTATATATATATATACAATTTAATTTATAATTTGCTAGATAAAAGAAAAAAAATTAGTTTATGTGACTTTTTGAATGATGCGTAAGAGAAATGGTAGAGGGAATCAGAAAAAAAAACGAGAAACAAAAATACATTCATGAAACAAAAATTTTTAATTGTTGTTTTTATAGATTACCTCAGATATTTCAATCAGTTTTTAAATTAATAATTGGCCCTATCAAATTAAATCAGTAAATTTCTATGAATTTCAGGTATTATATACCAGAAGAAACATCATTAGATTATATTTGTAGTCAAAGCGATTCCTCTGGTTTGCATACGTGCCATAATCTACCTCCATATAAAGTCAATGGAATAAGGTTGATCAAATTATGGTCAAATTAAATTTTAGTTCAAAATTCTAGCCAAAATTAAAAATCATTTATTTTTTTTTTTGATATTGAATCTAATTTCTATTCCTTAATATTTAAACAAAAATATTGTTAAATAATATTAAAATTTCGATGTAAGTTGCAAAAGGGCAATTGTAATGATTTTTTTTGTTAAGAATATTCAAAATAAATTCATGTTTTGATGCAACGGGAAGTTATTCTGTCATTTTTAGAAAGATTTTTCAGGTGTAATTTGACAATAAATGAATGGAGTAAGGTATCAGATAAATCTTGTATAAACTGGAATATTTATTATGACGAATGTAAAGTAATGAATCGAAATCCGTTTCAAGGATCTGTTTCGTTTGATAATATCGGATTCGCATGGGTTGCTATATTTTTGGTCAGTTTCTTTATTTATTTCATTATCATTATTATTATTTATTAAACTTTATTAAACCGAAGTACAAGACAACGGTGCGCTCAAATTTTGGTAATGAATGTCAATAAAATTTTCAATAAAATTTTTTTTAAGACTATAGAAATTTAAGATGTTTTTACTGTTTCAAAAATAAAATAACATGATATTATGTTTCAAATATAAATAAATGGAATTAAAATTTAAAATTTATAAGATGAGAAAATGAATTTCCAACATTTGCTAGAGACTAAGAGAATACTAAATAAATTTTCTGTTTTTCTGCTTAGACTCGTCCCATTCTCTTGTCTGACCGGAGTTGCCAGTGAGCCACTTGATGATAGAAATAGTCGCTAGCATCACACGGATTTTTAAAAGGCACGTTCCTTTCTACCAGAAACAGAACCATAGCATCGACTCTCCGAATCGATAGCAATCCATTGAGCCACTCTGCTTCAGAATAAATTAAATGTTTTCTCGCCAAAAGTCTTAAAGACCACATATGCTCGCATTTTGTCGTTTATGGGAAAAAAAAATATAATTTTAACTAATATGTAAGCAACAAGTATAAAACAAAAATATATTTTAATATTGCAAAATAAGACAGAAAAATATTATCGCTTTCTCAGTATTATTGGTTCAGGTAATCAGTTTAGAAGGATGGACGGATATAATGTATTATGTGCAGGACGCTCATTCGTTTTGGAATTGGATATATTTCGTCCTTTTAATTGTGGTGCATCATGATTTTATTGTTTTTAAATGTCTTTATAGCTTGATCTTTTTTTCCTTTCTTATTTCTTATATTACTTCAATATCAAAATCTTCCTTTTTCCTTTGCTTAAATTTTGAATCATTGGTATATTTGAAGAATTTTGTCATTCGTTTTGAAATGTTTTGTAAATGATAGATTAAGGTTGAAGCTTGCAGGAATAAACAATTTTTTATGGATTTATGGCTTGGATAATGATGAACTTGAACCTTCAGGTTGGGGCGTTTTTTATGATAAATTTGTGCTTGGTTGTGATTGCTACTCAATTTGCTGAAACAAAAAGGCGCGAAACTGAGCGTATGTTAGAAGAACGCAAACGAATGCGATCATCAGGATCATTATGTATTTTATTATCATTATTTTTATTTTATTTTTATTCCATATAAATATTTTTCCACTGATTTATTTGCAGTAAGTATCTAATTGTTTTAAATTATTTTCAGAAATTAATAATAGTATTTAGAAAGAGAATATAGATGAAGTGAAATAGTGAAATTTTGCCAGAAAATTTTATTTAATAATAGTAAACATAGAAACCATATTCAGCAGGAAGTGAGATTGGTGTTACATCTTCGAAAGATGGTGGTGCCGGTGATAGCATTTATGCTGCGATTGTTAAAATTATACGCCACCTTTCAAGAAGAGCAAAAAGAAAAGCAATAAGAGTTTGTGCCAAAATATAAATTTTTGAAATAAACTAAAGTTTTTTTGACAGATTCATCCAGTTTTTTAAGGAATATTAAGGAAGAAATATATGCAACATTTTTCTACCAAAAAATGATTTAAAAGTGTTGACAATAATTATTCAGTTGTTATTCAATTAAAGAAATTGATTATAGATTATTCGCTCCTGGAAGAAAACGTTGTCTCAAAATGGGCAAAAATCTCCTATTAATGATTGTGATAAATTATTTGATAGCGGTGGTTATTCAGGTACCACAAATTTTCTTCTGCCATTGTTTAATTAAAGTGGTTGGTATTCACCATTTCTATTTAGATGATAGGATGATACAATACGCTAGCTATACAATATTATTAATTAATGCTAAAAATTTTTTGCAAAGAAATTCTGATAGAAATATAGGCGACTGCCAGCATTTAAACAGATTGACTGCTGTACGGATCCTTGTTTTTCAGTACAATAATCCGGTCCACTATCATCTATTCTGCCGAAATGGGAACATTTGTAATATCATGAAAAGAAATATATGATTTAATAACATTCACCGTTTTTCGTTTGGTTTAGCTAGATTGAAATTCTTTAGTCAGAGAGTATTTCTATTTTTATTTGGGATGCAAGCACCATCCAATTTCACATTTAACTACTAGACTTAAAGAACAGAAATAGAAATCCATGACTGACCTCAGAGGCAAAATGTTCTATCATTTAATAATAAAACTATGATATAAAATAGTAAAATACACATAAAATATATATTTTTGGAGTTCACAAGATACTACACCATATTTTTTGAAACCTTTTTGAATGCTTTCATAAATTTCTGGAAAGATGATGGGAAATCAAACAAACTTTTTCAAAATATTCAAGCATTTCTTAGCACATAATTATGCACATAGTTCTGAAATGGAAATTTCATGCAGTTCAGTAATTAAGGTGGAAAAACCAATCAAACTAAGATTCAAAATGGTGCTCAAAAATTCACCTTAGCAGCAAAAGCAACATCAAATGGCAATATAAGGAGTGAGAGCTCAAGTTATCTTTAAGTCCTTTTGGATCTACTTTGGATTTGCAAGTTAAAATAGAAAAAAATTTTTATTTGTTGATGATACTATCATCGTTCAAGCACAAATTTTTGAAACAATTATTCGCATCAATTAAATATTAAATATAATACATAGTTTAAATAATTTTAGCTACTCTGCGGAAACAATTTATTCTTCTTAAGGTAATATCGAAATATAGAAAACTTAAGCTAATTGAATAAATTTTTAAAAAATTTTAGAGCATAAATTACGATCATCATCATTATCTAAAAGTTCTTTGGGGAAAAATGTTTCGCAACTGCCATATTCGTTTGACGCTGAAAGTGATGATGAAGATGATATTAATTCGGCACTCCAGTACCGTGAAGAAAATCCCATTCAAGATGAAAATAATACGTTTACTGATGAAATCGAAAATCTTCAAAGCGGTAAAACGGTGAACACATTTTTTGATATCTTATTGATCCTATCATATCCTTATTTTTTATCCTTATTTTTCTTCATTTAAATTTTTAAAATTCATTAAATATTGATAAAAATTGAAAAAATTTTTCCCCCTGACAATATGTGAATAAAACGAAGCTAGTTTGTGACGAATAGAAAAAGAGCAAAAAACTTATAAACTTTTCAACTTCTCAAGGCGATAAAACTAAATATCAATAAGATATAAAAATATAAATATAAATATATATATATATATATATGAATCGTTCAGGTGAAAACTCTAGAATCAGATAAAATGAAAAAGGGATCTCTTTTTATTCGAGTGCGGATGAAAATTCGAGAATTTGTTTTATGTAATCATTTTAAAAGAGGAATTTTATTTGCTATTCTGGTAAATACTCTCAGTATGGGTGTTGAATACCATGAACAGGTAAATTTAAAAAAATTCATTTTTTTATGAAAAATTTGAAAAGAATAAATTCCAGAAAAAATTTTTCCATGTTAATGATTTCTGCAGTGGCTCAAAATCGTGAATTAGCGATAATTTCATAGTATTTTATAATTCTTATAATATAATATATTATATTATGTAGCAAAAAAAGATTAACATGATTAACATGATAAGCGAAGGTTATGCTAAAAATTATCAAAAAAAGCCAGATTGTAAAAGAAGCACAAAACTTTTGCGTAATCGTCTATTATCTACAAAGATTAGATGAATTAAGTAACTTGCTACACGTTTTGGATCCTAAATGACCTTATTTGTATCTCCCAAGTGAAAATGATGCTACGACGATGAGATAGTCAATAAGGCCGACCAAACGAAAATCGGTGGGTACTTTTAGAAGAGGAAAAATAGCAGATTACCACCACCAATTCCTAACCAAAAAATTTATAATTTCGAAATATCTTATCAAACGAGCTATAATGATTATTAATATGGGTGATTACAGCCTGAAATATTGACAATGATCCTAGAATGCAGTAATTATTTTTTCACGGGTCTTTTTGCACTCGAAATGTTGCTCAAAATAATCGCTGATGGCCTTTTCGATTATCTTTCTGATGGCTTTAATTTATTTGATGGTGGAATCGTTGCTTTAAGGTTAGGATTTGGATTTCGAATTTAAAGGATTCTCTGATTATTCTCTGATTATATCTGAAAAATAGTGAGAAATTTTCAATTAATTCTTATCATTACAAGTACTTAATTTTATTTGCTAAATAATTCGCTTGGATTTGTGATTTTCTTTTCTATTACGCCTGCTATTTGGCTAAAACTTTAACTGTTTGAGAAAATAAGAATGAAAAATTTTTCAGTGTTATCGAGTTGTTTCAAGAAGGTAAAGGAGGCTTATCTGTTTTAAGAACATTTCGCCTTCTTAGAATATTAAAACTCGTCAGATTTATGCCCGCACTTCGCTATCAGCTTGTTGTTATGTTAAGAACTATGGATAATGTCACTGTGTTTTTCGGCCTTCTGATTCTTTTCATTTTTATATTCAGGTATCAATGAGTTCATTTAACCTTCCACATCATCCTGATGTAGTTTGCTTGCACAATTTCTACTCCTTTAATCACATTTGCTTCCATTAATTTCCTTCAATTTTTTCTTACATTCATTGAAAAATTTGGAACTCATAAGTAGCAAAGTTCCTTTATTTTAGCATTCTTGGAATGAATTTATTTGGATGTAAATTTTGCAAGATTGAAGATACTATCAATAGTGGTCATATTAAAAGATGTGAAAGGAAGAACTTTGATTCTTTGCTTTGGGCACTTGTAACCGTATTTCAGGCAAGAAATCTATTAATTTCATTAAATCTTAAAGATTCTAGAAAAAAAAGCTGGAAAATGAAGGGATAGATTCAAGATTGCATTTTTTCGTTTTAAATTTTCTCTACTATTATTTAATTTGTTTTGTCTTGATTTAATTTATTTTGCTATTTGCTATAATTGTTTACATGGAAATCAAAAATATAGTCGACAAAACGATACTTTATATTTATTTTTATTTAATTTATATTTATCTTAAAGTGCTTTTTAGATTTTGACTCAAGAGGACTGGAATATGGTTCTCTTCAATGGTATGTCACAGACCTCTCCATGGGCAGCTTTATATTTTGTGACCTTGATGACTTTTGGTAATTACGTACTTTTCAATCTACTTGTTGCCATTTTAGTTGAAGGATTTCAAGAAAGTAAAGAAGAAGAAAAACGTCAGTTGGTAAGCACTGCCTCAATTAAATGGAAGAAATTTTTAATAATGAGACGATTTTTGAAGAATTGTTATTAGGAGGAAGAAGCGTTGAAGAAAGCCAAAGAAGAGGAGGAAGAACGTAAAAAAGAACTTGCAATAATTCTCGCGAGGGGATCTTCACCACCTTATATTCAAGGAAAAAAGGTAATTTTTTACCATACGGTTAAGGAATGCTTCTGCCATGAAAAAGAATGGGTAACCGTAATCTTCAACCGTACTGTTTCCTTATCATTCAAATGTTTACTTTTTTTATAAAAAATTCTTTAATCTTTTGGTTTTTGCTTAATTCTTGTAGAGAGCCAGTTTAAATCTATTAATATTCATAAAATTTTTTTAATTTGGATTTTTTAGCAACTAGGTACCAAATGCACATGCCATCCAAAATATTCGTCTCAAATTTTTCTTACTTCGAACCAGCATAGTCCATTCAGTGCAACGAGAAATTTGATGTCATTCAAATCGGTGAATATTTATTTATTTATTTATATAATCGTAATTATATTCAATAAATAAACCACAAGTATTAGATATGTTTTATTTTTTTTTATATAATGCCATCAAACCATAATATTTTAAGTAAAACTGTATTGCGCTCGACTCATCTTGATTTCTTTATAATAAAAAAATTTCAAAATCCTTTTAAGAAACTCAAAAAAATTATAAATTTTTTTCAGTACTTATTTTTTTAAACAACAAATTATTATTTTTTTATTCAGTTTGCAATTTGCAAATTTAGAAAATTTTTTATTTTCAAAAATTCTACTTATGAAAATTCTTTGAATTAAAAAATTATAATTTTTCAAAAAGTTTTGCTTAGCTTCAGTATTGCACTTATCGTACTAATTTCAGAATTATAATTTCAGCCCTTGCTTAAAAGGTGCATTAATACCAACCCTAAAAATATTTCTTTGCAAGAATTAATGAATAATTCGTGTAATGAGCAACAAAACATCGGAAATTTTCATTCAAAGGATTTTCATTCAAACTGGTGATCATATATCTTATTCATCTAAGCTGAATAAATTTTTGGACCATTTAATTTAAATAAATCATTTTCATTTAATAAATGAACTGCACAATGTTAAATTAGGAAAACGATATTTTCATCCAAGAAAATTGACAATCCATTTGCTCTAATTCTTCTTCTTCTAACAGCTCTCACCATTAGGCTGGTTAGGCTGGCTCCAGCGACTACGTGGGTAAAATGCTTCCAAGGTACGCGGTTTAATACCATCGTCGATAGTAACAGAAACCATTCCTTTTTCCATCGTCTAAGTCCATATAAGTCCACTTATATCTTCAAAATCTTTTCTGATCATACCAGTACAGGTCTTGATTTGCCCACCTCGCTTTTGACGTTACCCACCGTAGAGTTCGACAAGTAGCAAAATATGACAAATGTTGCGGGCGGAGAATGTGCCCTAACCACCGAAGGCGACACTCTATGATAACATTATTAATACAGGTGGTACTTGAACGAAGATGGATGCGATCATGTAATATCCGTTCGACGGATTCGTAATATGTACCTTAGACAAGAGTGGTCAAAGGCAGATAATTTCTTAATGTCCTCCATTCTCATTGGCCATATCTTAGAGCCATATAGCAAGATCGAACGAGCTGTATTGCTCTAATTCAGATAAAGACAATTCATTCAAACCAAATAAATCAAGATTCCAATTAATTTATAAAATTTCAATTGAGAAATAATTATTTAGTAATCGAAATCAAGGATATTTTTCCGAAAGTCAAACGATTTGTTCAAAATCAATTCGCTTCCATCATCATAAAAATGAAAAGAATAATGCAAGTGATTCCGAGTCAGAAGATGAAGCGACATTACTAACAAATCGATATAGGTTATTATTTTGGATTGAATTAATTTTTCGAAATGAAATATTTACTAAAATATTAATAATACTGAAGAAGATTTAATATTATCCACATGGTTGAAAATCTGAATTTAAAATTTTTTCGTTTCTGTTAAATTTTTCGAAAAATCAATTTTTAAAATGAGCTGATTTTTAAATTGAAGTTCGATTTTCTAAGATAGGGCAAAAATCAGAATTATATTTATGCAGGGTTTAAATTGAAGCATGATTATCAGACCAGCTTCCATACCCTCGAAGCCACGAAAATTATAAATTGAAAAATACAAATCGGAGTCCAGCATATGATTATAAAAATGGACTTAAAGATTACTTTATTTACCTTTTCAGTTCAAATCATTCAATCATACCATTTAAGACTTTGTATCCGAAATTTGATGTTTATTGGTAAATTTACTATAAAGTAGGGAATTACAAATGATCGGGCATTTAAAATATATTTCATATTGGAATTTGATTTAGATTAAATCGACACACGTCACTTGTTTTACCTCGTGCTAATCGAAACATTGAATTAAATTGTATTTCCGCAAGGGAGTCAAGACAAAGAATGAACAGTTGGTGTGAGCTTTATGCTACTTTCAATCCGAATTGTCCAATCCATAATAGACAAGCGCTTCTCGAAGCATATGTGAGAGAAAAACTGATCAAGGTCTTTTGTTTCACTTGCCTTTTTAGTTTTTTTTATTATTTCATTATTTTCTGTTTTATTATTTTCTATTCAGTATAAAATCGTTGTTATTACCAAGCACTCCTTTTTTAGGCAAGTCAAGAGTTGCATAAAGCTATTGTGGACGAAGAGTTACGCGAGGAGAGACGAAAAAATACCAGATGGCGAAGATTTCTTCGCAATAGTTGTATACATAAGAGATCTGACTATTCTTTATTCATGTTCAGTCCGAAAAATCGACTTCGAATAAGGTGACTATTCTATGTAAATTTATGTAATTTATTTGTTTCAAGTAAAGGTTCGGTATAACCAGAAATCATGCTTCAAGTTCAAGGATACTACTGATCGGTTTCAAACGTATAGCTGAAAAATACCTAAAATGTTTTTTAAAAGTTGTTATTTGCCACATTATAATAGTCATTATAATAATATTATAATGCTGAGCCATTATCAATTTGGCTAATAAGTAGAAAAAAATTTTAAATCGATTGACAGTTAATTTTGAGCAAAATTTTTAGATGCCTTCAATTAATACAAAAAAAATGGTTTGATTATGCAGTTCTATTTTGTATAGGAGTAAACTGTGTGACATTAGCAATGGAGCGTCCGTCTATTCCTCCGAAATCCTTGGAAAGACAATTTTTAACTATTAGTGGCTATATATTTACCTGCATTTTTGCTGTTGAAATGTTCATTAAGGTAATTTTATCAGATTAAATATGCTGAAACCAGAAAATCTCTTCGGCAAACCATTTTCCCTTGTTTTTTAAATGGTCGCCTATTTTTCTCCTTTATGTTTTTGAAAAATATTTCTTATTATTTAATGATGTGGAATCCTATAAAAAAAAGGAAATTTATGGAATTTAGATGATAGCAAATGGTTGTATATTTGGAAAAGGTTCATATTTTAAAGATGGTTGGAATATTTTGGATGGAAATCTTGTAATTATTAGTCTTATTAACATAATATTCGAGCTGCTTGTACATACAGGTTGGTTTGATGATGGAAGATGATTGGGGAGGATTGAATAGATTTTTTATTCCATCGTGATGCATGGAAATTAAGTGCTAAAACCATTTATAATTTTAGGTTCACCAAAAATATTTGGTGTGATTCGTGTTCTTCGACTTTTACGCGCTCTGAGGCCATTGCGTGTAATTAATCGAGCACCCGGAGTAAAACTTGTTGTAATGACATTAATTAGTAGCCTGAAACCGATCGGTAATATTGTTCTTATTTGTTGCACATTCTTTATCATATTCGGCATTCTTGGAGTACAGCTTTTCAAGGTTTTCATTCAGTTATTCAGTTAAATTTTCGATGATGATGCTTTCTTTAAGAATTCTACACCACAAAAAAGAGGGTGGTCGTATGATTCATTGCACTGACTATTTATGGAAATGAACCTGTCACTAAAGATAATACTCGGCTGATGTTCCATCTATATACCCGTCTCTGCAATAGAAAAACCTTAGTAATCAAAGAATTCAGCCAAACCAGGAATGCTATAAAGAATCGAGTAGTTTTCATCATATTTATCCCAAAAAGTGAATGCGTATCTTCTAAGAACACTCACCCGCATTTGAAATGAGATAGTTATCTCGTTCTTTTAACATTTTAATATTATAATCAACATATTATAATTTACATAGGGTATGATGTTTCACTGCATTGGACCGGAGATTGCTAACGTTACGACGAAAAGTGATTGTCTGCATGATCCACGAAACAAATGGGTTAATCATCGTTATAATTTTGATAATCTTGGTCAGGTAATCCATTATCCATACACATTTTTTCAATTTTTTCACTAAATTTTTGAAATTCCTGCTATTATTTTACTTCTTTGCTAATTTTTTAATATTATTGCGCTTGATTTGATCTTATAAATCGATTTGTGGAATGATTATGGAATTAAAATAACTAAAAAATCAGTGGGAAAGCCTCGAAAAGTTTATATATATAAATATTTTCTATTTTTCACTACTCAACAAGTTTGACAAGTTCACTCATTCACTTTTATAAGCATTTAAACTTTTAGAGATTTCATATTTTTTAATCGTTTAATCATTCGTTTTTAATCGTTTAAAAAATTGAAAGATAAAATCAGCTCGTGAGGAAAATAAATTTTCTTATCGAATCCTTGGATTTTTTAAAATTAATATTGATACTTTAAAATAAATAATTTTCCTCTGAAATTAAAAAGACTGCGGTCATATTTCGGAAAAATCAGTTTTATTTATTCACTGAATTGAAAACTGATAATTATTTCAGGCATTAATGTCACTTTTTGTATTATCAAGTAAAGATGGATGGGTAGCCATAATGTACCAGGGAATCGATGCAACAGGTGTTGATTTACAGGTGATTTACAGTTTTTTCCAAATCTTATTCATATCAAGATGGCAAATGATTTTACTTCAGTGTAATGGACATTCACTTGAATAAATAGTTGTTTGCAAAATCGTTTTTTTAAGATTTATGAAAACTATAGGATTTTCTGGAAAAAATGGAAATTTCAGCCCATTGAAAATTATAATGAATGGAGGATGATTTATTTTATTTCATTCCTATTGCTTGTTGGTTTTTTCGTTCTGAATATGTTCGTCGGTGTTGTCGTTGAAAATTTTCATAAATGTAAGGAAGCACTTGAAGCTGAAATGAAAGAGCGAGCTCGACAGAAACGAATCGAAAGAAGATTAAAAGGAAAGGATTCTATAAGCAAATGTGTGCAAAAACGAAAAAAAAGTTAGTTCTAGCCACTTTAAGCACATCATTTGATGCAAGGAAATCCGCAAGTGAACTTTTAGACTTCAATCAGCTTCTATATCTTTTTGATTAAAAAACCCTAAATCCAATGAATTTACAGAAAAAAAATCATTTTCATATTGGCGTGGTTATGGACAAACAAGATTGTTTCTTCATGATATCGTTATGTCAAAGTATTTTGACTTGGCTATAGCTGCAGTAATCGGTTAGAACAATTTTGTTTAATATAGATTTGTTTAATATAGACTTCAAGAGGTTAGATAAAAAAATTTTAATTTTTTTGATTTGCCATTTTAATTGGATATAATTTACGGGAAAAGCATGGCTATTCGGTGTATCTTTTCGATTGAGCATCGCGAGTTTAGTGCCCCTTGATAGAAGTCATTGAAAGTAAAATCCGAATGATACGGAGGATCTCTCTATACTAATCACAAATGACTTTCTGATGAGAGTTTTACAGTTATATTTAGTAATGAGCCAAACAAAAGATGATAAATGCTATAGGATAAAAATACATTTACTCGTTTAAATTTATTATTCTCATCATTATTTTTTTAGGATTCATTACTTTTTATTCTCATTACTTTTTAAAATTCCATTGTATTTATTAGATTTCTTTTCCCAGTAAAAAAATTGAATTCAGCGAGAACTTCTGCAGATTGAAACAACTTGATATATTTATTTGTTATGAATTTGAAGGTATAAACGTAATATCGATGGCCATGGAATTTTATATGATGCCACCTGGATTGAAATATGTGTTAAAAGCGTTAAATTATTTTTTTACGGCCATTTTCGCCCTCGAATCTGGTATGAAATTAATCGCATTAGGCATAAAACGTTTTTTCCGTGAAAGGTAAATACCAACAGTTTTAATAGTTTTGATAATTATTAGATCTAATTTCTGGCCAAATTTTTTCCCAAATTTAATTGGATTTCATCGCATTTTCAAGTTTAGAAGCAATATATAGAAACAACTTTATCATTCATAGAAAAAAATATTTGGAATATTTTTCTTCTTTATTAATATAATTAATAAGAGGAAGTAAATTTTTTTTAAATTTTGGAGAAAGGTGAATGATTAAAACTCAGCTATTCCAGGTGGAATCAGCTTGATATATTTATTGTTTTCCTTTCGATAGCTGGAATCATATTTGAAGAATTTGAAGCACTGGAATTACCCATTAACCCCACAATAATAAGGGTTATGCGAGTTTTGCGAATTGCTCGTGGTAAGTTTATCAAAGTTAATTGATTAAATGACGCATATAATGACGCATATCATTCTTTTTCCCATTATAAGCCAGAGAATTTACTAAATGAAGCATTACATTAACACTGAATAAAAAATGAAGAAAAAAAATAAAGAAGAAATATAATCAAAAAAATTTTGAAAATTATTAAAAACAAACAACAAAATTTTTTCCTAAAATTTGAAAACTACAGCTAATATTTAGATTAATTAAATAACCGATATGAAAACTTTAGTGCTAAAATTATTGAAAATGGCAAAAGGCATACGATCTTTGTTGGATACAGTAGGCGAAGCTTTACCTCAAGTTGGCAATCTTGGTTCTTTGTTCTTCTTATTGTTCTTCATATTTGCAGCTCTTGGTGTTGAATTGTTCGGTAAATTAGGTAAGTGATGGAATAAATTGATTGGCTTATTGGATTGATTAAATAAATAAATGTAAATATAAATAAAATAAATAGAAATTTAATAATAACCTTATAAAAGGGATTTTTTCCTGTGTCATTTTCTTTTCTCTAGAATAAAATTAACGGAACATCATTTTAAAAAAAAATCAATCAACTGGCTAGTTTACTAAACGAAGCATTACATTAACATTGTTTAACTTTGAATGAAAAATAAAGAAATATTAGGTGTTATTAGGTGTTTTTAGATGTTTAAAATATAATTTAAATTTTTAGCGATCTAAAATTTTTCAGAATGTTCCGAGGAACACCCATGCGATGGTCTTGGCGAACATGCACATTTTAAAAATTTTGGCATGGCATTTCTAACACTCTTCCGCATTGCTACGGGTGATAATTGGAATGGCATAATGAAGGTTATTTCTTTTAATTTCTTTTAATGAGTAGAATGCACAAAACTGGCAAAAATTTTTGCGTCATAAGCATAGAGCTTGTTCAAAAAACGTCAGAATTTTTTTCAGGATGCTTTACGTGATGATTGTAATCCATCTGACCGCTGTGAAGTAAACTGTTGCGTTGATCCAATTCTCGCACCATGTTTTTTTATAATATTTGTTTTGATTTCTCAGTTTGTGCTTGTTAATGTCGTAGTTGCCGTTTTGATGAAACATCTTGAAGAGAGCAATAAAAAGGAAGAAGCTATTGATGGTAAGGATTTTGCTGATTAAAATACTTCAGGCTCTATATTATTCCAATTTTTTGGTTGTATGGAATAAAATAACGATATAATAAATCATAAAACGATATTATAGATTATTTTGTTTTTTTGAAGATATGTAGTTATTCAAAGAATTTTAAGAAAAATCTAAATCTTCTGGCTCCGGAAAAATTTAGAGTTCATTAGACTTCATTAAAATTTAGGCCTTTCGAGCATAGTAATATAATAGTAAATTTAAGATGGTAAAGGTATCACAACTGATACGGACATAAACAAAACAGATACAGACATGGAAGACAATCGAGATTCTGCGAAAGAGATTGTGCGTTATTTTTTGAATTTATGCCCTATCATTGTTATTTTATTCTCTTTCATAATATCATTTGTGGTGAAGAAATGAGGAATAATATACCAAATACAATAGTCATAGCAAATTTCCACCACTTAAAAGGAATTTTCTTCCAGTCTACTGAAAAAAGAACTGTCCAACCTCTCAGATGATTTACAATCAACAGTTTAGAAGATATCGATTATTTGAAAAAATCTTTTCAGGATGAATTCGATCTGGATTGTGAACTTAAAGAAATAGAAGAAAAAATAATAGAGCATGCTAAATCAATTGATCTAACTGCATTGAAGGGTAGCAGCGAAAAGTCGATCATTGATTTAAATCATTTAGAAATTCTTCCCAAAAGTTTAATGGCCGGTGATTAACCAGGAAACATGTAATTTTTTAAAATCATTAAATTTCATTTTCGCTGTAGAATGCTGTTAAAATAATATCTCATACTGTCAGAAAATAATGAAATGGTGCACATGAAATGGTCTAAAAATGTTGACGGATGTCGCTCACCTCTGATTAAGCTAGCATATTCGTGTATTAAGGTTAGAAATTTTTATCAAGCATTCATTCGGAAATAGAAATAAAAGTGCATCGCCAGCACTACCTGGATTTTTCAATGGTTAATTTGCTTCTACCGGGTGCGAGAGCCGAAAATCTGTCTCAACACGATGAACTAAATCTATTATCCACTCTTCCACTCTTTTGTCGCAGTGATGTTTGTTAAATATTGTTTCATATTATCTGAGCTGCACTAATTAGTGAAATAAGGAAGTTGGTGTGCTATAAACGAGTTACGGAAGAAAAATGCAGTGGGATTTGATTAAAGGAGAGCTAGAGGAATGATAAGTAAACAAATATCATTTCTGGTTAGGTTGGCTTCACTAGGTATTACTAGGTTTTTCATTTAGTAACAGGCAATTCACCTATTTAGGAAAAGAATACATGTGAGATCGAGCAGGCATTCCTTCCAAGAGGAGTTGCTTGAGGTGATAATCTACTTATAGATTTCCGGCCATATTACCCAATCTTTTCAGTCTCAATGGGAGCAAATGGGATCCAAGAAATACTTAGATAGTAGAAGTGTAGGCTGCGGAGTATGAAAGAGTTTTTAAGTAAATAGAATGAGGACAACTTCGTAGTTTATGGTCCTTATAGGAAGAGGTAGGGTATGGAAGGAAAAAATAATGCCAGTTTGGAAAAAAATAGAAAAATGCGACTTTAAATATAAGGAGATATAAGGAGATTTGAAAGGAACTTTGAAGCTGAAAATAGATTAAGAGAAAATTAAGGTGTTAGGGCAAGGTGCCAACCAAATAATTCTATTTAATTTAGCAGCGATTTAAAGCCAATCAACTGAATTCTACCAATACCCAGCTGGTCCTGGAAATCTTACGTTGAATCGAGATTCATTCATTTAGGAAACTCCGATTTTCTTCAATTCCTTCTAACTGAAGATCTTGCTTTAAAATATTTGAAAATAATTCTATGTGATAATTTTTATTACTTACTATATTATATGCTATAATGTACATTGTAAATTTTTTTGTTTGTAATTTAGATAAAATGGATGATTTGTATAGTAAATCTGCCATTAATTTTTTCAATGTTAACGCAAGTTTTAAAAAACAATTGAAAATTTCTATAGTTGATATAGGAGATAGTTGATTAATATATTGTTTCGGCTGAAGTGAAGTATTATGGATCCGATTATGGATTCCTGGCGGAAGCAAACTTTTTTAAAAGTGAAATGTGCTGGTAGTCCACTGCGCTTCTAGCTATCTTCATATGATTCTTTATCAAGCTCGCCAAACAGAAATCGCGTGTTATTAATGAAGAGAAGAAGATTAAGAAGAGTAATTGAATTTAAATGAAAATATGAAAAATTAACGAAATTAAATCGCAAAATAGAATGAAATTTTAATGAAATCAAATTTTTTGCTTTTTGCGTTCAGCTATTTATTTAAATATGAATTATAAAAGGAAATTTTCAAATTTTGAAAATATATTAAATCAAAATCCTATATTTTCTATTCCATATTATAAAAAAAATGTCTGCAGTGAATTGTTCAAATCTATTTTTAATAATATTATTATTCAGCTTGAATTAATTATATATCCCCTAAAGGAATGGTTTTAGACATCTCCAATTTCAATGAATTAAGGTTATTTTTTATGCATGAAAAAGGAGTATTTAACTCAGTCTTACAGGCAGTGAGGATATTTGTTCGTCATTCCATTCATTATATGTAAAATTCGAAATTTATCAAAAAACTATGGAAATTTGGAGATGAACAATTGGGAAATTCTCCACTGCTGGTTAAAGTCATTATCATTGTATTGGCTTGTCGGACTTATAAGTGAGTCGGCAGAATCTCTCCAGATTTTTGAATGACAAGTTTACTTCTACAAACCTACTGAACTATTCTATTATCCTTCGTTTCCTTCGCTGGTAACACTGCCACCAGACCACAAGTGTGGTGCAAAATGTATCGACCAAATTCGAACCCAATCCATGATTCTCAATGGTAGTTACCTTGCAATTGAACCACCGATGCATCAATTGTAGATTTCACTGCATAGAATTGGTCAAATAAGGATTTTTATAAAAAGCTTTTTTTATAAAAATGTTTTTTGAAGGCAATCATCAAAGTTTTCTATATCTCTTGCAATTCCTATAAAAAGCGTTTCCTAAACTTTCTTTGCCATAGATTTCCTTCCAAATTACGATATGATTACGGAATATTTATATTGAGCTTGTGGTTACTTGGGTTTTTTCAAACACTGTTTGTGCAGAATAAATATAAAATATTTGCGGGCAAAAGTTACGAAAAAAAAGTTAAAATTAATTCTGTAAAATTATTATACGTCCTTAATAATATGGTAAAATCAGAGAAAAAAATCGGAACATTGGAACACAGCGAACGAACACATTCTGTAAATCATTAATTAATACCATAAACAGTTATTGCTGAGAGGACACTTTTAGAACTTCTAATCACTAATTTACCTTAATTATTGCAATAATTCATTTTTATTACAAATGAAGCTTCTTCCTATTCTCTTCGGCTGGTGTAAGGTTGGAAAATGAGCGGTTTAATTTCAAGCTCGACGGATCAGAAAACGTCCTATCGCAATTGGGAGTGGAGCCAGCCCAATTAATAATGATGTTAGAAAATTCACCATTTTGATTTGCCTCGCACCACTGGCCATTAGAATGAGACTATTTCCGTAAGAGAGTCACATGGTGATCGAAGCAAAACCGAAATTTCACTTTTAATAAAGAATCGAACGAATGATAATTGATCTTAATAGAAGTATCACATCATTATGGAAAAAAATTTAATCGGAGAATTTTTAATCAACAGAATCAAATGGTTGAAATCGATCTTACGAACTATAAAATTTTTGAAATTATCTCGCACACAACTACCTCCCGATGGAGCTTATGAAAGAGAGAAAAAAATGAGGAAATCCAAAAATAAAATTGAGAAATCGGTGGTAATGCCTTGAACCAGATTTTATTACGAGACTTCTGTATCAACAATAAACGATTGTCGAATAGATAGTGGCTTTGACCACCACAGAAAAGCATTCGATTCGACAGGGGCAAGCCTGCCATTAAAGAATCTGTGATGTTAGCAACTCACCTATATGAGTCATTCAAACAAAATTTCGCACGTGAGCAAGCCAGAAATGATAAACCATACTAACAAGATTAAAATATTGTAATAGAAAAAATTTTATCGGCCAAAACCAATGAATTTTATTGGTTGTTGAGACGAAATTTGTTTGATTTAAAGTATATTAATCGCTTCACTCTAAGTGAAATTAAATAAGAGTAAATCAGTTGAAATAAAAATTTTGTTATATTTCTTTAATTTTTTATTATATTTAATTATTTTCTTCCATTAAAATATGAAAGAATTACCAAAAATATTTTTATAATAAATAGTTAGAATTCATTATTTCAAAAAAAATAAGAATTTCTGGTTAGATTTGCTTCTTCCATTTTCAGCAAATAAATGGGAAATTTTAGACAAGCATTTATGACGAAGTTGTCAAAATCACTCGGCTTTTCCAGTGGTAAATTTATTGCTTAAGGTTAAATTTTGAGCTAATTTAATTCAAGTAACAACTGATTGGCTGTGCTGCAATTGTCGCAACAAAAAATCTTAGCAAAACCTTAACGTAAAAAAAATTATATTTAAATGGATAAAATTTGTCGCATTCTTTCCAATAAAAAAAATTTTAATATTTCATCAAAAACGATAAGATCATAAACATAGTTTTTTGATCAACGATGATAAGAATCATTTGGCTTTTTTTTGGTTCTTAACCGAATTCTAAAATGTTTTCGGCCCAATGTGTTGTAAAATTCTAAAATTAATATATCTTTTAAAAACTTCAGCATTAAAATGACAAAAATTTTGATTTAATCGTTTTCAGTGAAATTTTTGCCATAAAGACCAATTTTTGTTCTAGTTTGATTTCTGAAATTTCTAGTTTGATTTCTGAAATTTTACAAGAATTTTTTGTCGGAAAAAAATTTAGCAAGTTAAAAATTAATATGACTTCTAAAATATAAAATAAAATATTTTTAATAAATATTTCTAAAATATTTATAAGCGAATACTACTGGAAATCAAAAATTTATATAGCAAAATATAGTTTATGAGAAAAGAAATCATATAAAATGATAGAAATTAAACAATTAAATATTAAACGAATATTAAACAATAAACTATTGCTTGCTTGCATCACTCAGTTCAGTAAAAAGCCAATTACTCAATTTCTTATTCATAGGATTTCTTCTTCTTCTGGCAGTACTCACCACTTCTCGTTTTGCATGCAAGCCGCACTGGCAATTAGGATAAAAATTTTTCCTATGGAATTATTTGAGAATAGAAATTTTTTTAAACAAGTAATTCTCTCAACTCCAGCCGGATATCATTTTAATGATAGCATTACTCGCATCAGTGATATTGAGTTTGATATTGAGTTTGAAAATCCTGTGCATTAGCCATTGCCTTAATAGTTGAGTTGAGAGTTGAAAGTTG